CTTCTTTTTTTGGCATTTAGAAGGCCTGCTTAGCGAAAATGGACCACAGTTCTGTACTCAGCGCTCATGCCCCTACACCATGCAAAAAACCATTTTCAAAAAGCGTCCCACGCCCTGAAAGACCTTCCTTGTGAGCGGACGGGCTCCAACAGTTATACAAAAAGAAGCGTCAAAGGAAACTCGCATAAACAAATCGTAGGAAAAGAAAAAGTTCCAGATCGAAGGGGATATTGGCCCGAAAATTCGGCAGCGACAGATGTTGGAACGATGACACAGTTTTCCCATTTAGATTATGAATGCGCCATGCATGTGCCTTTCACTTTCAATTGTAATAGCGGTTGTTCCTCTTGCATGCGATACAAACTTGAGAGAGGCAGTTGATGTCTATCTGATGGTCCTATCTCATCAGACATGTATAAGAGGAACAAAGTCAAAGCGTAGATTTTTCGGCGATAATTGATCTCGTCTCTGGGAAAAGCTCACCCTAGACTTCCATTTAGAAATGAAGGATCTTAATGGGCTGACCAAATGTTCGCTTTCCATGGCGTCACTCGCACGAAGGATTGCGTAGTCAGGTTGCTCGCCGGCGGAGATCGTGCGGGGAACAGCCTGGGTTCTGACCTCATCCGAAGTTTAGCAACCCGCCTGGCTAAGCCTCACTTCCTGTGGAATGAGCACAGCCCCAAACCGACTGACTATCCAGCAGCGATCGTCGAATGATCTTGAATGAGAACAATCCATCACCTAAGCCTTCGACCAAATATTTTTTCTCTGTGGCGTTTAAAAGTGTTCAGGGTAGATCAACACCTAAAGACTACGCCATTAGCTTGACATCCACTCAGAAGTGCAAAGCTAATTGAATCCCGTTTGGCAGCCAGCTAGTTAGGCAAACTGCTCTGATTGATTCTGGTAAAAATGTTATCGATCTATCGATTCTTTCTGGTTTGAGCCGAGCCTGAGTTGTTCAACTCTAAGGGTTCCTCTGTGCAGCCTCTAGTCACTGTGCTGCAATAATCTACTGCCTACTGTTCTGGGAATCAACAGCATCTGTTAGCTTAAAGTTGGCCAGTCCCGACGCACACCCCGAACTTCCGTTTTTTCCCTTTCGGATCGTAACCCTGTCTATGTTTAGGCTCAAAAGAATGTCTCTCAAGCTGGTAGACAGGTTCCGAGTGCCTACCGCGCTTTGTGGCCAAAGCAGGACGAACATTTTCGATATTTTAGCTACAGCGTAGCCTGAGTGCAACTTTCTCACATTTTTTCACCAACACATCCATCCTATCTTTACAGTCATCTTTCTTTTGCAATTTCTAAAAAATGACCCCGTCCTGTTCACCACCTCCTATTCGCATGAAAGAACTTCGCTCTCTTCTCTGACTTCATAATTTTCTGATTTCCCTGATACAACCGTTTTAAAGGAAACGCCTACCATAATGGTGGTCTTTACCTTCGACCAACGATATATAATATATCAGATGTGATCAATGCATGTCTAAGTGTAAAAAGTTTTCGGGTGTGAGTCCAGTCCGGTGCCGAAGTTTTGCCCTTAACCCGCCTTCCTTGTGAGAGAAGGTTAATTTTTGATTGAGGAAAAATGTAGAACCTCTGCAATCCTGCAAAATTTCGACGGCAAGATATGAGCCAAGAATACGTATTAGCTCACCACTTCTGAATAATAACCGAGTTCATGGCGTATTTCAGAAGAAGCAAGCCTAGAATGCCTATCCTACTTCTAGAGCTACAGGTCGTCAAGCTGGGAGAACTGCGTTTCAGCGGTGTTCGCACCTTCATCGAGCCATTGCCGTAGCTCCGTTCAGAGTTGCTTGCTACGCTTGATAGCAGATCGCCGCTAT